CTCACCAGCCCAGATGGTGCAGAAAATGTGAAGCCCTGCCCCTAATCCAGCTCTGAGGGCAGAATTTGCATGTGAGTGCCAGAGAGCCATGGCAGTGCTCTACGCTATCCTTTTTTTCTCAGAAAGGGACCAGAATAAAGATCTCAATACGCAATCAGATCATCGTCACAGTTCTTGAAGGAACATCAACCTACCTGACTTATGTATCTTGCTGGAATCAGCCCTTTCCATCCAATGAACAAGCCGGAGTGTCTGCAATGTAGCTGACTGCCTGAACTGGTTTTCGGGTTTAAAAGTTGTATTTGGACAGATGATACACATTACTTGTGGACTGGAAAATATGCTGATACACTGGACCAAGGAGAAGGCTTTGAGTATAGATCCCTTTTGATAAGATTATAATAGCTACTAAAGAGTACATATGTTAGTTTTTAGCCAAAAGGATTTCCTCCAAATTTTCAGTCAGGGGCTCCCACTACACCAGGGCAATCCGTTTTCTAACTTTTCTCTTTCCTTTTTTTTTTTTTTAAATCAACAGTATTTTCTTTTAATAAATAAGGACGCTATTAAAAGGAATGGAATACTTGCTGGCACAAATTCCCCTTACCAGGTGATGTGGTTGGTGCCTTACCCCTGGGCAGGGTCCTAGTGAAAATGGGCATTTTAGTGCTTGGAAAGCTAGTGAGAAGCAGAGATGTCAGTGATGATGACGACGGTATTGTGCTACTACGCCTTTATGCAATGCTTTACACAGTATTTGCAAAGTACTTTCCGATTACTATACTTCATTAAGTCAAGCGTCACAGCAGCCAAGTCAATTTGCACGTTCTCCCATTATCTTACTAACAATCTGCCTCCTAAAACGACTCCCAGGTGCCTGTAAAAGGGCCCCAGCAAACTTCTACGGCTTTTTCTCGGGGCCTCTCAGATGAGCTCAGACAGCAACCCTGACCTCCCGCCGCATCAGCTCAGGAGCTGGGTGTTGCCCCGACTGCCGTTTAGCAATCCTGTGGAATGAGTTAGCAAGCTGCACTTCAGCAGGGCTCCCACTCTGGAGGCTCCAAACATCCCATCCAAACCAGGGCAGTCCCACCCTGCCTCACAAAGCCAGTGTCTGGCCCCAACCTGGAGGCCAACGTGCAGGTGATCTTTCCGGGCTGGGGGGTTAGCTCCTTTGGGATGAGGGGATAGAGGGAAAACTCTAGGGTTCGAGTGTCCCTGGGGGGCACACCTCCCATCATACCGATTCTCCTGTGTGCACGGAGATGCTGCTCCCCGCATACGGAGGACCATACCCACGGGGTGATGCTGAGCTGAGGGCAGAGGCTGCGGGTGGCCTCCAACCCTCACTATCCTGTCCCTTCTCCTTCGCCTCCCTTGGGAATGGGAGAGCGTTACCTGGGACAAAGGCCTGCAGGTAGGACAGGGCTCGGACCACCCCAGAACCAATGCTTCTTCCCCGGACCCTCTCAGGCCGGTGGCTCTGTGACCCGCCCCGGCGGCTGCCATCGCCCCCTCCAGGTGAGGGCCCTCCAGGTGCCTCCCGCGGGGGCGGCCTCCCGAGACTCACCTGCGTGAAATACAAGTTCATCAGCGTGAGGGTGAAGAACTGGAGGCACACGGGGAAGCAGTAGAGCAGCCAGAAGACGAAGGGGCTGAACGCATTGGCCGCCACGAAGTCTTTGAAGTAGAAGGAGAAGAGAACCGTCCGCAGGGAGGCCCAGAAGAGGCAGAGGAAGAGGAAGACGCTTTGGTAGCTGAGCCGCTTGTGCCGGTAGCGCAGCACCAGCCAGAGCTGCACGTAGATGAACAAGAAGAGCAGCGAATAGAACACGGTGTAGACGATAGTGAGGCCGAGCTTCACGTAGGGGGGTACGGCCGGGGTCAGCGTAGGCGGCAGCGAGTCGTTGCGTAGGGGGTCCCACGGCTGGGCCTCCATCGGGCCGGGGGCGCTACGACGCGGCCGGGGCGCTCGGGCTTCATCTGGGCTCGCGGCCGCCGCCGCCGCCCCCGCGAGGGTCTCCGAGCATCGCGCTCCACCCAGAGCCCGGCGACTGGAGGAAAGAAAATAAGCCGCACTTCCTCCCCCGGCACCACATGATTCACTGGGGCGGCCTTTGTCTGCGATTGGCAGCGCCGCGCCCGCCAGCCCCGCGCGCTCGGGCTGTGCACCGCGCGCCCCTAGGAGTCCCGCCCCCCGCGCCGCGCCGCGCCGCGCGCCCCCACGTCGCCCGCTGCCCCTCGCCGCGCGCCCCCGGAGCCCCGCCCCGTGCCGCGCGCCTCCGCCCCGCCCCCTGCACTGCGCGGCCCCCGCGCCGCAAGCCCCCACCCCGACCCCTGACCCGCGCCGCAAGTCCCCCGGAGCCCCGCCCCCTGCCGCGCGCCTCCGCGCCGCTCAGACCCCCGACGCTGCCCGAGCCGCCCGAGGGGTTCAGCGTCGCCCCCTTCTCCTGGGACGGAGCCCCACACCTCTCGCTCTCTGCTGATGATTACTTGTTGTTTTGCAGAAGTTAGTTATTTTATTTCAACAGCGACAAACGTTCCAATCTTTTTAAACATTAAAAATAAACTTTACGACTCTGGGGCTATGAACTAATTGGCGTTTTTCCTTGAAAATGTCATGCTGGGGTGATGCTTATTTCTAAATCCAGAAATGCCAAAGACAGGGTTTGTGTTTTTGAGGTTAAATTTGCGTACGCAGAGTGAGGAAAAGAATGGTCCCTGTGGCTGCCGCCTGGTCTCGGTGGTAAGCGGGGCTGTTTTCTCCCGGAAATCCTCATAGTGCGCCCCACACGGTGCTCCCTCGGTGGGCTGGGGGATGCTCGCCCCTCACCTCCCAGGAAAGCAGCTGGTGCGGCGGGCAGCGCGGGGGCGGGGCAGCTGAGGGAGCCCGCGGGACCTCAGAGTGCTGGTGGTCGCTCTCGGCGTGCTGCCTCCCATTCCAATCCGACCCATCCAAGCAGGACTGCCTGCCCATCAGACAGACAAGCTCTCTCGTTTGCTGTGGCTGAAGGGTCGCTCTTCCGAGG